ATGGGGTCCGCACCCCCCAACCATGTAAAACACACACACATACACATACACACATGTACATACACGCGCACTTGGCTCAGCTACTGCTCCATTCCGCTTACAGTCTCCGTACACTTTTCCAGCAGTGGGAGCGAGGGAGCGAAGCTTCAACACCACCTCGGAACTATGCACGTGTGTATGTATGTGTGTGCGTGTGCGTCTGTGTGTTGCGCCCATGAATCGACATTGGCCACTCTCCTGTGTTAGACAAAGTTTGCTGCCATGGCGTTGGGCAGGGGACAGCTGCGGTCGCGATGATCTCTGTTAGGCGCCGGTGGCAGTGAAGACGCTGTTTTTAGAGTCCAACCGGCCACGGGACGGTATGTAGGGCAACAACGTTCGCATGCGTACGATCGCGGCGTCACTGTACGTAAAATGGAAGGAATCAGGAAGCCGTGCCCGTCATCCGCCGTGCCCGTCATCAGCCGTGCCCGTCATCCGCCGTGCCCGTCATCCGCCGTGCCCGTCATCAGCCGTGCCCGTCATCAGCCTGCTATCCCACAATGCCCGGCTGGACATTGCACCGACGTCCCGGACCACTGAGATGCGGGCGACCTCCCAGAAGGCGGCGACAATTCCCAGGGGGGCTCGACTCCGTTGGTGGTTGCGCCGGCAACGGCTTTTCTGCTGCCCAACGGCTTCGCAGCGGCTGCAGGGGGAGCAGGGGACAGTGACGGCACCCGATGATGCATTCAGCGGGGGCTGATGGGACTGGGTCTGGCCGAAACCTGCTGTGATGACGTGTACCACCAAGCCCAGCGCACTTGGAGCCACCACTGCTGCTGCTGCTGGCCCCGTCGCCGTCACCGTTGTACCGCCACCACCGTCATCATGATTGGTTAGCGTCATGGTCATCGTCCCTGCAGTCATTGCTGCGGCCGGCAACGCCGCAATCGCCACCGCCACGACACTCACCCTCGCCATCGGTGTGGCGGTCACTTCGACGTGGCGGTCAGTATTACGCAAAACCCCCGCCATTATTATCTCTTCCGCAACTGCCTCGACCGCCGTCACCATCGCCGTCAATGTCGATGATGCCATCGCTGTTTGTGCAGCTGCCACCGTTGGCATCGTCATCACAGTTGCCATCACCGCCGCCACATTCATCGCCGCCGCTGTCTCCGTCGTTGCACAGCCGCCACTGTCGCCGCCCTCGTCCCCGGTGCGTGTTTGGTGCTTGGCGTGTTTTTTCCCCGTGTAGTCGTACTAATCTTGAGCACGTGCCCTGCCTGCGCAGCAACTGCGTCTTTAGGTTGGCAACTGCACATCTTAAGTTGTGCCACACATCGTACTGGGGAGGAGCGTGTATGCCCCTGCTGCGGCACTAATAGCCATATTGAAGATGAGAAGCATGTTTTACTGGACTGTCCGGTGTACGAGAAAATCAGTTCTGGTATGGATTTTTCACGCTTCGAGCATATGAAGGGCGCTATGAAGAGGGAACCTGAACGTCTGGCAAGGATGCGGAAACGTATGTGGTCCCACCGCAACCCTATCGTTCCCTTTGGTCGTTAATCTCCTTTGTCACTTGCTTTCCCTGAAGTGCAAGGTTAGACGGCGCTTATGGGCGATTCGACAGTCCTTGAGCCCTCGGCTCCTATTGGGCGGTTTGCAGGTACGGGGAACGCACCCCACGACCACGTAACACACACACACACACACATCGTACCGAATGCGTTATTTTCTTCCCTCTTGCATCTGGATGTCGTAGAACAGTGGTTAATCTTGCTTATTGACTTTGGGCGATTTGCTGGTCCCGCTCCGGCTCGTAATGCGGGTAGCCCAGAGGCCCATGTAGTTAAAGTCGTACATTGAATGTATGATGTTATATCGTACATTTGCCATACGCAGAACGCAGCTTGACGCAGGCCGAACACTCTCACTCAGAAAATTTGATTTGCTTTGAATTTAATTTTGATCTCAGGAAAGCCGCTGTATGGATGTACGGCGACGGTACGGAGTAGGGAACTTTTCCATGGCAGCGCATGTTCTGTATAGTCACACCGTTATCATCCTCATCACCACGGCCAATCTTCCTTCCTACCCCGACAAGCTCCTCCACTTATTCCACGCTCCAGCTCGCCACCACACGCCTGCCGTTGCTGCATCCTCCTGGGGGCACAGGCCCCCACTCTGGCCCCGCCCCGGCCTCCATTCACCCTACTGACCTTATCCCCATCAGGGCATGAACGGCTAGCCGTCAGAGATCCAAACCCCATGTACCGTTCACACCTATCCCCAGGTACCCCCGCCTCCGCCAGCACCTACACCCGCACCCCCAGCATCTGCCATCGGCTGCCGCCGTTTACCACCAGCTTACCAGTACACCAACCGCACAGGACACCATCTACACCACCCACTACCAGCTACAAGCTCAGGGACTCCAAAGTGGAGGCAACCAGCCAGTAAGCAGCAGCCAGTCCCAGCACCAAGCTGATCTCCGGGGTGAACGGCAGGCTGTAGAGGGCTTCCAAGCCGACGGGAGGCCAGGCGGGGGGGTCGTACCCACGGCCACCTGCGGCCCGTACGACCCAAGGGAAGGAGGGGGAAAGACGAACCACACGCGAAGGAGGGGAAGGAGGGGGAATAACATGCAGGAATATTACGCAGAAATGAACTGCTTCCGGCGTCCAAAGTCCGAAGGGAGGGGGCGACGGGGATGGGATAGTGCGTGTATGTGTGCGTGTGTGTTTTTTGATGGCCACGCACGTATCCCTCCATGCTCTCCTACCCCGGGTTTCAGTTACCCCACTCACCCCAGGGGTTGCACCTCAGCAGCCTCCAGGCGGTCAGCACCGACCCACGGGTCACTCCTGTATGAGTGTGTATGGTGCAGTGGAGCACCATTGGAGGACTTTCGGGATCGGGGTGGGCTGGACGTCCGCAGGCAGCCTGTGACGGCGACACATTGCGACTGCTGCTCGTGCCGGTGAAAGGTAGTAGGCACGGTCTTGCACCTCCCCCCTCAGCTCTCTTACGTTATTTTTATATTGTAAGCACCGGCAGGGGACTTCCACCTTCCCGGTGATCAGCTTCCAGTCCAACTTCTCCCCGACTCCCCACCCTTTACCGAGCAAAAAGAGAGCACTGAATGTCTCATTAAATAGCCGCCGAATTGACCGCCTCCACCCCCTTCCTCTTCCCCACCACCTTCGCCAGCTCGCCCCCTCAAACCCATCCCTCATCCCTCATCCCTCATCCCTCATCCCTCATCCCTCATCCCTCATCCCTCATCCCCATCCCCCATCCCCTCCCTCACCTCACCCTCACCCTCGTGTCCAGTACCGTGTTTCAGTTCATCTAATTTGCCCATACTCGCACCCCAATACACACAGACATACCTCCCTTCCCCGTCCCTTCTTCTCCCCCCTCCCACATTCCCCTCCCCGTTAAGAGCCGCTCACCGAACTTCTTATAGCTCTCTATGGAGTAGACGGAGCAGGAGGGCAGGAAGCGGCAAGTGGAGGGCATCAGAGGGGACAACACGCCGCGGTAGAAGCCCAGTAGAGCCAGGGCGGCGCTAGGGGAGGGCAGGCAGGAGGGAGAGCGGCGGGGTTGGAGCGAGTTGGGCATACGCGTCCGGAAAAGGAGGGGGGAAAGGTGGGACGGGAAAGGGGCAAGGGGAGCAAACCACTTGCAAGAAGCGAAGGAACAGATCATCGTGAAAACGAAGGGGAGGGGGGAGGGGGGGGAGGGGGAGGGGAGGTAACATACTACCTGCAGAATAGGAAGTGCCGAAGACGGGGGCAGCAGCACCGACTGCCGACGGGAAAGAAGGAAGGTGAGAAAGAGGTTAAGGTGAGGTGCGAGGCAGCAGGCGGGGCTGTTTGAGATGAGGCAGGAAGGGGAAGGGGAAGGGGGTCGGAGGAAAGTGAGGCGGGTCTCGGATTAAGGCCGTCCCCCAGATCGTGAAACCGTCCGCAGCAACAACAATAACAACAACAGCAGGTGTGCCGCGAACACAAATGCGGCACACTTGCCGCTGACCCCAGCACCAACATCGCCACAACGCAACCACGGCATACACCCCCATCCCCCAGCTCCCCACCCCAGGAACGAGAGCCCCTAAACCCAACCAAGTCGTATGGGCGTCATCTTACCGTACGCCAAGACTCGGAGGCGGGTCACCACCGCCACCATCGTCGCCGCCACCGCCGTTGCCGCCACGCGCACCCGCGTTCGTGGGGTCCCCCTTCGCCTCGCTCTGCCGCCCAGCTGCTCCAGCACCCGGCACCTCCCCTCGAGTGCCGCCGCCGCCGCCACCGCCCCCCCTGTCCTCGTCATCGCCAGCGGCGGCGAAAGCGGCCACGGCAATGGCGGCGCCGCTGCTGCTGCTGCTGATGGCGGCGGCGGCGGCAGAGCACACCGCGACGGCACACTCTCCGTCACAACCGTACATGGCCTGCGGCTGGACCCAGCTCGCCTCCCCGTCGCCACCTCTGCAGACTCCGCCACCATCGCCATTATTGCCCGGCTTCACCACACGCAGCAGTGGCTTCCCGGTCGGCAGTGGTATCTGCGGAGGTTTGGGGATTGGGGGGATGGGAGAGAGCGGCAGCAGTACGGTAGCAGTACGGCAAGTGGCCAGGATGGCAAAGCTGGGTCAGTGGCAGCGGGAGGGGTAGGGGTAGTCAAAGAGGAGGTACGGCATAAAACGGGACTTGTGAGCAGCGTGGGCACCGGGGGAAGTTCTGGTTGCGTTGAGATTTCAGATGCGTCAGGACGAAAAGGAAGTCCCTGACCTGATGGCTGAATGTCAGGAACCAAGGTTGAACTGATACGTATTGCAAATCTGACGGAATTTCAGATCTGGAACTAAATAAGACGAGTATCCCTTGCGTCTTGGTACATATGCACAGGGGAAGGTGTGTTTGTGTGTGTGTGTTTCGTGGGGAAGCGTGCGTTGGGTTTTTGATGACTGTACTCTCGTTTCGCTTGCGGTATTTCGCCATGTAGGCAATTATAATGTAAGGTACTACGAATACGTTTACGTAATGGGACATCGCCTACATCGAAACACAACGCGGGAAGCTGTGCATGTGTGCATGAAAGGGTGTACATATTTCTGCGCGCGAGAGCGCTAGAACTCGACGCCCGGGAACGCGAACTGATAAAGGAGACCACAAGCTAATGAAAGCCTGGCCAGACGCAGGGCTTGCAGCCGCCGCCGCTGGTGGGCGGTGGCTCTGCGTATTGGCTGCCTGATGAAACTCACATAACCTCTTCCCTTCACCTCCCACCTTCTTGATAGAGCGGAGCTGCTTAGGGACCTGGGAGCCGCGCCGCCCCCATACATACCATATCCCTGTCCCCGTACCCGGAACCCTCTGTTGGTCGACAGCGCAAGATTAGGGGTTCTGCGCGAGCGGCACCCTGGGTCTCTTGGGCCCTACGCTGCCGGCTGCCGTGAGGAGATAGCCAAATGGATTGGATTTAATCAGGCTGAGCTGGAATGAATTCGTGGGAACGGGGAACGGGAGGGAGAAGATAGAGTAGGAGAGGACGGGCAAGGGAATGTGACATGAAAAACCTTTTTCGGGGTATGGGGAGGGAGAAGGGGAGTGAAAGCTTGTGAAGAATCAAAGCGCTGTGCTGTAAAAAGGTTTTGCTGTATTTGCACCGCAATTCCTAGGTGCGTGTCAGGTCGGCAGGGTGTCTGGCTGGGTGGTGCGAGCGGGGCACACCCCTGGAAAAATCGCCAGGGGTTGTGTAGCTATGAATACACGTGGTTACGGGCGAAAAAAGGCTGAGGGAATGATATTGTGTAAGGAAGCGGACCGACTACGGCATCTAAATCAGGAAGAGTGAAGCGGCCGGGGAAGAAGTAGCCGAGTCATGGTGAGTTAATGGTGGGTGGTTTTTGCAACATGGTGCGGGGTTGGGTTCGTGCCGCCAGGCCGGGGTTTTGTTATTCCAAGCCCTTTTACGATGTTGCTGCGCTTGAAACAAAGGTAGCTCACGCCAAAACGACAGAGTCCTCTCAGGATGAGAATCCATCCTAGTGATGAGGTTATGTGTGCTACAATGTTGGGGTGGTCCTGGGCTCAAAATGGGTGCGATGAAGGGTTGAGCACCGGGCAAACTAATAGGCGAGCCATGGCCGCAGCAGAAGGCTCTGGGAAAACATCTTTTGGAACCAGGGAAAACAGAACGTCGCAGCATGAAGAGACCATACACGACCGCACACGGCGCGGTTACGGGAAGTGTCGCAATTGCATGTGCAGCGACCTGTTTGGCAAGAAATCGGCGATGGCAGGTCGTCGCGACGGATACACTACATACGCAAGTTAGCAATTGCGACAGACCTGGGCATCTCAAGCAGCTGCGCAACCCTGCTTCACATAACGGTGCTCCCACTATCGCTGCACTTATACTCGCCATTTGCACAGGTTCAGACAAGAGCAGTCTCTTCGCCATCACTGCTGGCTGCCAGCATTTCCGACACAGGGACGCGCAGAGAGCCCCTTGGCCCCGAAAGGGGCGCATTCCAAGCCCCCTCATAATGGCACGCACAAGATGCACCTAAAGTCTTGAAACAGATTAAATGCGAGGGCGTTTTACATCATCCTTTAATTAACAATCTACATACACTACTTATATCCTGTGTATCCGCACAACTACACCCAAGATCACATAAAGTACCAGTTTTCCCTTAAACCGTCAGCTGTAATCTTTTTCGTCCGGAAAACTTCCTTGCCGTATCGGAGGAGTAACGCTTAGTTGTCGGTTTCTTGGGTACGGCGATCAGCATCAGCCGTACAGTCGAGGGACCCTTAAGCTTGCCGTCTGCCTTCCCATTTCGTCCGTTGCGGTGCTCTCGTTCCCAATTGACCACTTCGCACTTCGCACTTCGGTAGCAACCAATAGCCACCATGCAGACTGTGCTGGCCAAGTCGTCCTTCATGGGTGCTCGCCCGTTCGGCGTGGCTGGCAAGGCTAAGTGGACGATGGACAAGAAGCTGCCTTTTTCTCTGCCCTCGTTCGGTTTGGAGAAGAAGAGCGGCACTGTTGCTGCCAAGCCGAAGGCCGGCACTGCTACCACTAAGCCCGCCCCGAAGGCGACCACTAAGAAGGTTGCCTCTTCTTCCGGTACCCGCTCTGGTGGTGTTGGCTACCGCAAGTACCAGGGCGACGCTCTGTGGCTGCCGAACACTGTGCGCCCGGAGTGGCTCGATGGCAGCCTGCCCGGTGACCGCGGCTTTGACCCTCTTGGTGAGATTCACGTTTCATTTTGCATTCTCGATTTAGCATCCTATAACATGTTCAATGATCACAGTTGATCTTGAAAATGTAGAAGAAAGTCGTAAGGGTATCAGCATGAGCTTCCGGCTTGCAAAAGATCTGTCGCGTTTGTACGTAATCTAGCTCAGTAAGATTGATCATTTCTCTTATCTCGTGGTTGTGCGCAGGCCTGGCCAAGCCGTCTGAGTTCGTGGTGATTGGCGTTGACGAGAACGACCAGAATGCCGCTAAGAACAACAAGGGCTCTGTTGAGGCCGTCGTCACCGCTACCCCTGATGAGGTTAGCGCTGAGAACCGCCTGGCTCCCTACTCGGAGGTTTTCGGCCTGGCCCGCTTCCGCGAGTGCGAGCTCATCCACGGCCGCTGGGCTATGCTGGCGTGCCTGGGGTGCCTAGTTGCTGAGGCCACCACTGGCGTGTCCTGGTGAGTTGTATGTTTATGTGTGACGTCCGTCTGCTTCGTATACTTTAAATAGATGGGTTTTCTTTCTACGGAACCAGACACCTTGTTCCGTCCGTTTTTTGGTCTGAATTCCGTATGATATCCCCCTCATTTCACCTGCGTCACAGGGTTGACGCTGGCAAGGTCGAGCTGGACGGTGCCTCGTACGCCGGCCTGTCTCTGCCGTTCAGCATTACCCAGCTGATCTGGATTGAGGTGATCCTGGTCGGTGGTGCTGAGATCTACCGCAACACGGAGACCAACCCCGAGAAGCGCTGCTACCCGGGCGGCTTCTTTGACCCCCTGAAGCTGGCCAGCGAGGACGAGGAGCGTGCCTTCCGCCTGAAGACCGCTGAGATCAAGCACGCCCGCCTCGCAATGGTAAGCATCATGTCACTAGGGAGTCAAACCTTTATGTGCAGCCTAACCCGCCCTATTTTGATTCATTTAAACCGGTGAGCCTGAGTAATATGTCTTGCCTTTGGCTGCAGGTCTCGTTCTTCGGCTACAGCGTCCAAGCCTTCACCACTGGCGAGGGCGCCCTGGGCTCGCTGGCGAAGTTCGCTGACGGCCTGAACAACGGCAAGGCCCTCTAAATGATTTGACATGTGTCTTTTACGGCCCCTAGTTTTGCTGACCTCGCATTTCGGATGTCTTGAGGTGGCATAATAAGCTGGATGCTGCTGTTTTGAGGACATGTCGTTGTTTTTGCACCCGGGAAGCGTGTCTGATGTCATGTGGATTTGGTGGCATTTGCCTCTTTGTAAGATACGAGAAGAATATTCGTGTGCAGTGCCGATTAAACCATACTGGCAGTGGATTTGTTTACATCGGCACTTCAGTGTGGTCTAGTGCGCATATATGAAGAGGACAATCAGCCTGCATAGGGCGAAAACCCTCTTGACCTGCCTAGATCAGTATAGGTTTGGGCTCTTAGGCCTGTAACGTGTAAACTGTCGCAATGCCGTCCGTGCCGTGATTCCAGGTTTGCACCGCATGACATAGCACGCAAGTCTGGATAGATAGAAGAAGGCATCGGGGGGGGGGGCTTGAGACGTAGAATCGATTACACCTAAACAATATGCTGACACGATGCAAAACCACAGATCTGAAGCTGTTAATGTTCATGGTCGGGATTCGTCCATAATAAATCAAGATCAGGTATGATAACTGTCCTGCATAAACTTAGCGTGAAGCAAACAATACCTCTTCAAAATTTCCAAAAAGAGAGATGCACGCTTTGTCCACATGCATCCGTTCCTGCGCTTACTACCCTCGGCTCGCATTGCCGCAGATATATAAGAAAAGTCAAAACAAATGAAAATCCCTGCTTGCTTTAATGCATTTGTTCGCACGCTTGTCCATGTTTCCACGGACACCTGGCAACGTACATCCCGCTTTGCTATCACGCAGATTGGCCTTATCACAGCCGTGTGGCCCCGCTGTCAAGGCCATACCATATCCCCAGTATCATAACCACACGCTTGGATTAAAAAACCCTTTGGCCCCAACCCCAAACCCTCTGTTACCCATTCGCGCCCCACGCCCAAGTATATTCTCCACACACCAGACCTTATATCTCCCGGACCCCGCCCACGTACAGTGATGCCTCCAAAGCGTATAACAATAACACGCAACGCCTACTAGTACTCCTAACATCCATGACACACACATGTGTATCCTACTAGCGCCGCCCAACTCTCGCTCTTCGGTTGTCATTTAAATAGTCTACAGGATACAGCCGCCCTTGGTAGGAATTCCGGGTCGTGGGCTGCAAATATAACGCCCGAGTAGGACTTCTGCGAAATTGTAACCAGATGACATGGTTTCTCTTCCCTATATACGCCAAGATACGCCAGCTGCTACAGCCAGCTATGTGGCGAGGGTGCCAGCATGGTGTATCTGTGCACCAGCCCCCACATCATCAGCCCCACGTACAACTGGCTCTCGATGAACTCGATGTGGGCCGTTCTGCGGGGCCGCGGACGTGTGCGCGTGTCGGGACGGGTCAGGCCGACCGGTCACTATCGGTGGCCACAAGAAGGTCATGGCGGGCAAAAAGGCAGGTGCTGATGCCGACACGGACGATGCCTCAGGACACGTTGCACCAACCCAAGACCACCCATAAATCCCCATCCACCTTCCCGCCGCCCTTTTCCCCTCTTCACCCACCCCTTCCTCCACCCCTTCCAAGTACCCCACTCCAGCTCCGCATCCACCGCGCCCAGCAAGATGTTGTCCGTGTGCTGCCCCTTCCACTTTCCCTGCTCTCTCTCACCCCCTCACCCACCCACCTGCCCACTAGCTTTGAGAAGCTGAAGCTCTTGGTCCGCAGACTGAAGTCCACCGCCAGTCGGAACAGGTGTGTGCCGCTGCCCACACCCGCCGTCAACGCGCGCAGCATCTCAGCATAGCAGCGCCCCCGGCGGCTGTCACGCTCCGCCTGGGGACATGTAGTAATGGCGGAAGAGTGGTACGGCACGTAGCGGTCTTGCGGCGACGACACCGCAATGACCAGCTTGAACATGGACAGGGGGCACTCGTGCGCGAGGCGGTAGAGGTAGCAGTCCGTCAGTTGGGACGCGTCGGAAAAGGTCAGCTGGTGGAGGCATTTGCCTGCGATATTTCCACGGGACGTTTTTGAATGGGCATTGGAATTTAGGGGGATGAGGTGAAAGAGAGGGAAGGGACACATGCAGGTCACAAGGGAGAGAAGGATGGGGAGGAAGGGTGAGGGACATAAGGACGTGAGGATGGAGTCCTCCTCGCCGACATGGCTGAAACCACACCACATATCACCACCGCCACGCCATCCTAACCGCCACCCTAACCACCACCCTAACCACCACCCTAACCACCACCCTAACCACCACCCTAACCGCCAGCCAGTGTCCAACTCACCCTTTCCTATGCTCTTAAGCAGCAGCAGTCCTGTGTCCACCACCGCATTCGTGCCGTACAAAAAACCCAGGTGGGGCCCGCATACGGAGATGTACAGCCATAGCAAATGTTTGTACGGCTCGAACTCGGGCTGGGTTAGCGCGGACCGGAGGATGAGGTTGCCGATGGAGTGACCTGTTTGGTAAACCCGGGTGGAATTAGGATGGCCGCTTGTATGTAGTGTATGTGTGATTGTGTGATGCAGGGGGTATAGCTATAGCTTCACACCCGCGCGCGCTCTCGGGCGCGCGCGCGCGCGCGCGCGCGCGTGTGTGTGTGTGTGTGTGTGTGTGTGTGTGTGTGTGTGTGTGTGTGTGTGTGTGTGTGTGTGTGCGTGTGTGTGTGTGTGTGTGTGTGTGTGCGTGTGTGTGTGTGTGCGTGTGTGTGTGTCCGCTACTAGCCTGCTGGCAGTCCCCCTACCACCTTCCCCATGCTTCGGGGGACACCCTCCTCCATCTCAAACGCATGTGTGCCGACCTCTGCAAAGTCAGTGACTTTTTCGGGGTCGACACCACCACCGCTACCGTCACTAACATCCAGCGGAAACTGCCGGGCCCTCCGGCGGCGGCGTCAACCCTCCACTCTCCTGGTCGGTTGTCTCGCAGGTTGCGTCGCTATATCCGGGTCGGTCCACCACCGTCCATCGACACGGGGTTGCTCCCACCCGCTTGCGGTCGAGAGATTATTATCCCGTTCTTTGCCGACATTTACTCCTGGACATTACTTTCATGGACACCACATCGCACCCCATGTAGGCATGTATGTATGTCGCGTGTGCGCATGTATGCATGTGTGCGTGTGCGCGTGTGTGCGTGTATGTCGCTTGTGTGTGCGTGAGAGCTTATTACATCGCTTGAACCCCCCACCCCCAACCCCCCATCCATGAAAGCACCCACTAACGGAAGCTGCAAGAAGATATTACCACTGCGATGGGAACCGGCTTTGGGGTTGGGACCCGTGTTGGGGGTACGGTAAGAGGATGCCGCTAGGACCCAGATGGGGTTGGACTGGGGGTCCGAGCCCCCCGCCGTACAGACAGGAACCCAACACGGAGCTCGACCCGGTAACCAACATGGACGGCGGTTTGACCACCACGGTGGTCGTGGAGGAAAACGGCAAGGGGATCAGAATTGAGAGCTTGGGGGCGTGGTGGACAAGGCCTGGAAAGGCCAAAAAATCGCTCTATTTTTGCTTGATCGCGAACAGCTTTGGGGGTAAGAGGAGAGGGGTTGTTGGGCGTTAGTTGGATGGGGGTTGGGACGCTTGAAGGGCTTCCACCCAGGTGGCACCCACCCACCCACGAGTGTGATCTCGCGGAGAGGTCGTCGGGTGGATCGGGCGAATGGCGCTAGGAACTCCGCCATCTCTCCGGCCAGTCGCTTACCCATTTCCTGAAGCGAGTCGTGCGTGTTGCCCTTGAGGGGGAGTGGGGGAAGGGGGAGGGGGAGGGGGAGTAGAGGGGGATTGCGAGGGGCGGGAGCAGAGGGAGATGGTGATGGTGGTGGTGATGGTGATGGTGATGGTGATGGTGATGGTGATGGTGATGGTGATGGTGATGGTGATGGTGATGGTGATGGTGATGGTGATGGTGATGGTGATGGTGATGGTGATGGTGATGGTGATGACTGAGGAGGCGGAGGGAGAGAAAGATGGTGCGAAGGAGGGAGAGGAGGTGGGTTGGAGGCGGCGAGGAAAG